TTCAAAGCTTTTGCAAATTTATTATATCTCCTACATTTGCTGATCTCCTGCTTGTAAATCCTGTTGAAGGAGAATAAAAATGACTGCAGCCTGATGGGAATTAAATGTCTGAAGTTCAAAGCCCAGTGCACATCAGAGCGGGCGTCAATCACGCACACATCTTGGAAGGCAGGAGGGGAGCGGGTTTCTCCATGGGGCAGAGATCAAAGTGGGCGTCGAGGCTCTGTTTTCTCCCTCGGGAGGCTGCTTCGATCAGTTGTTCATGAAAGTAAATCCAGAAGGAAGTTTTTTTCCCTCTTAAGGGGTAGGAGAGACAGTTATTTCTCTTCAGGCACTGGTTTTATCTTATGAAAATATCCAATCCAATATCTCCATTTTGTAGGGTCAAGGTCTAAAGGAGATTTAGATAAGATTTTTTTTTTGTTATCCTGACTAACTTTTTAAAAGCGTGAGTATAAAGTAAACCGAACCTCTTCAGGTGAATTGCCTGCTCATTTTATAAGCAGATGTGTGAGTGCAGCAGCTCCTTAGCTTTTCACAAACCTAGAATTACAGAAATGTGACCAGCAGTGAATTCCTTTCTCAGTGCAAAATCGTTCCAGTGACCCCAGCTGTAATTGACCATTTCTGCAAAGTGTCTCAAGAGTACTTTCATACTGCCTGCGGCCCCAAGTCCCGTGTCATGCCGCTTTTTATAAACGGCTCTTCTGAAAGGCACATGTGCACACAGTGCGTCCTGCCTGGGGAAGGGGCAGGGGTGACTGACCTTGACTCGCTGCTCTCCTGTGTCGGTCTATAGCCTGGTACCTGGTGGCTTGGGGAAGAGCAGAGAGACAGTGGTGTGCACCTTTGCTTCTCTCAGCCTGGCAGCCACCTGGCCTCCCGTGTGTCACCTGCTTTGTTGCCTGGCCAAATTGTGGCTGGTATGGGGTGCAGGCCCCGTGCTGGGGTGCAGGACAGGCCCCGAGCTGAAGTCATTGCTGTCAGCCAGCAGCCAACAGCCCCAGGAGGTGCCACGCCTGGGGCAGAAACAAGTTCTTAGGGAATCAGAGTCCGCCTGGGGGAAGCTGAGACATCTCGAGGGCGTGGAAGGTTCTAGAGGGAATTGGGGGTTCAGATGTTGGGACGGGGACTAGTTAATGGAGTTCCATGGCCATGTTGGGAACTCACCCTACTTAACACACCTTTTATCTGGTCGGAGAGGAAGGCAAAGTGATTAAGGTTGCTCAGGTGATACATTTGTTCCCTGTTTATAATAAACCTTAAGGTTTTCACTGGTGCTGCGACTTGAATGTTCCCCTTGGATGTGTGTTGAAGCCCCGTCACCAGCATGGTGATGTTTATTAGGAAATGGGGTGTCTGGGCGATTAGATCCAGAGGGCAGAGGCCCAGGAGCCACCTCTCCCTTCCACTGAGGACGCCGTAAGACATTGTCATCTTCGAGCAGAACGTGGCCATCCCTAGACACAGAGCCCTGGTGCTGCGCTCAGAGACTTCCTAGCATTCAGCAAGCAGCTCCGATAGGCTGAGATAATTGATTAGCATTTCTTGATATGAGCAGAATCCAAAACAGATGAATAGTCAGTGGCTGTGACTATGAGGCTAAGATGGGCCTGATTACAGAAGGACGTAACAGGACGAGACTCTGAAACAGAAGGACCCAGGCTGCCGAGACATGGAAGGACTCCTCCTCAGCTTCCAGGGCCTGGGGCTGAGAAGGACAAGGCCTTGAGCTGGACCTTGGAGACACCGGAAGCCTCTCAGGCAGACGGCACTTGGAGAAGGAAGCCGAGTGGGGAGAGGCCAGGGAGATGACTGAGCGCTGGTGCTGCACTGCAAAACCAAGCACCTGCTCCGATTCACGAGTCACTTACACTTTTTTGTCATAAAAATGTATCTTCTCCATAAAGGAATTCGACCATCTAATAATCATTCCCTGGTTCCCGGAGCCAATGTGCATTTCGCAGAAGCCGGGGGCCCTGGCACCCTTCGGCTGGACTCCAGCCCACGTGAGGGTGGCTGCTGGCCAAGGTCCTGGTGTGGACGCTTCCCCCAGCATGCTCAGCACCCTCCAGAGCTGCTCTTTCTTCGACTTCTCCCTATGCATCACCCGCAGGCAGCAGAGGGCTGTGTGGCTCATCCCTGGAAAGCAGTGCTGGGCTCGCCTCTCTCAGGGCCCTGACTTGCTGTGTGATCCTTGCTGTCACTTTTCTCTGCTGGGAAGTGGGCACACGAGGGGCCCCTGAGAACGCACAGCACAGCCAGCTATGGGCTACAGAGACCCCGAGGTGCCTTGTTCTCGGGATTTGGATCAAGTCAGAAGGCCTCTGAGGCCCCAAGACCTGAGCCAGCTTGAAGCTGTCCTGCTGTTTTACCGCCCAGAGAACTTGCATGTGGGACAGGACTGCTTCTCATTCCTCTGAGCCTGGCAAAGCAGGATTCCTGGTCCTTACCCCAAACTCCCATTTTAAATCTGACTCTCAGGGTAGATCCCCCGAATCCATGTTTCGGCCCACAGCCCGGGTGATTGTGGTGTAGCTGGAATTCCAGCGTCAGATAACCGACCATTGAGGTGAGTCATCTCCCCTGCATCCAGGACAGGCCCGGGCAGTTTGGGTGTTTGTGAGGATTGGTCAGCGTGGCACCTGTGTTGGACAAGAGCAACGCAACACATCAGGTACACAGTGGGAGCAGTAGCACAAGCAAGGTGCAGCGCCTGATCCATACAACCCGTGATGCATCCATAAAACATAAAGGTTCCCATAACAAGCACAACCAGGGCCATAAATGTGAAATTGTGGCGCCTGCCCCAGCAGATACGAGGCACTGGACATGACCTGAGACGTCGTCTTGGGGCAGGATAGTTCTTCCCGAGGAAGCCACCCGTGACCAGAGACAAAGCCTCCAGACCTCCCCTGCCAGCCCTGAACCTGCTGTTCAGTGGTGCCTCACATGGAGCTTTAAATAAGCAGGAAGTTCAGCATCGAAGTCAGGCCAGCCACGGTTCACAGGCTCAGTAGCCACATGGGGCTGCAAACATCTTCCACATTCTTCATCTCTGATGGGAGATGGTCCTCAGCCTAGACCAGAGCAAGTCCGCCACACCACGTGCTTTGGAAAATTGAGTCTTAGTGGAAGATGTCACACTCTGTCTCTTACGTTCTCTCTGTGGCCCCTTCCGCCAAGGTCAGTAGTGGGAACAGACCGTATACCCACGAAGCCTAAAGTAGGTGTCACGGGCGTTATTTAATGCAGGCTCCTGGGGGAACAGACTTGGGCAAGGAGGCGCAACGGTGTAACTGTCATGCGGCCTCTGCCCCGCTCCCCTGCCCGGCTCTGGGTGTCCGCAGTGGTCTTCTCATCTGGACACCTTGGGGCGAGTCCAAGGAAGACCAGTGATGTTGGTGAAGTGGCTGGCGAGACTCGGCTGCCTCTGTTGAGCCCCCGGCAGAGAGGCTAAAGGGCTCCCAAGATCCAGTTGCCCCCTCCGAGGTCACAGGGCCCGAGGCAAGACTGTTGAGCTCCCACTGGCCAGGTTGACCCACCCTGCGAACACCGAACCCCCTGCTGCGCTGTCAGTTCCGTGTCGGATTCTTCCCTCCTCTGAGATGCGGCCAGCAGAGAACCGGGAGGCGTCAAAGTTCATACGAAAGATTGAGTGGACCTCGATCCAAGGAATGCGTCTCCTGGGCCGTGTGTTAATGGAAGTTCATCAAGGACACCTGAGCTGTGCTTTTTATCAGAAACACTTAAAAATATAACATCTCACTGAGTTAATTTATCTCAGAAACTGTAGGAGTCCTGTTGGCCTCTGAAATCCTGGTACGGTCCACAGCGGCTGAGCTGCCTTTCAAAAGCTCTTGATGACTGCAGACTTTGTCGGCACGTACCCGTTCTGCCTTTCTGATGATTTTGTCTAGCAAATAAGCCATCAATTCCGCCGATACCGATGTGCACTGATCCAGAGCACTAGCGTAAAGCTGGCTGCAGCCATCTAGCGAAGACCCTGGCCTGTTTGCATTACAATCCAGCAGGAACAAGCTCTGTGTCACCTCCTTCCTGTTATTATTTGTAATATTTTTGACAATTTGGGGAAATAAATGGTAGTGTCTCTTTTTTCAGATAAGAAAATTGAGGCCTGATTTTTCCACCGTCACACTTAGTGGTGACAGCGCAGGTTTAAAACCAGGCCTTTCCTACTGCAGGGTTGTCCTTGCATTTTCATTGCTGTGCGCTGTGGTTTTCACATAAGATTGGTGGAAGAATTCTGCTTCCCATCCAACATCAGGGCTTCAGTCTGAATTTTTTTAAATTCCAGTCTGAATTTTGTTATCTATTGTGTCTGTGATTTTATCAGTAGTACCAACAAGTGCATTGAGGAATAATTGGCTTAAAGGTCAATATTTTGTTTCATTTTGGGTTTTTTTCTTTTCATTTTCTGAGAGAGAGTCTCTTCGCTGGCCTTGAATTCACTGCATACCCCAGGCTGGCCTTGAATTTGTAGCAGCCCTCCTGCCTCAGCCTCCCAAGTGCTGGGATTACAGGTCGGGGCCACTACGCCCTACTGTTTTGTTTTGTTTTGTTTTGTTTTGTTTTTGCAGTGCTGGCTGGTGTTGAACTCTGGTGCTCTACCACTGGGCTGCATCCCCACCCTTTTTCATTTTTTATTTTTAGACAGGATCTCACAAATTCCCCAGGGTGACCTTGAACTTGTGTTCCTTTTGTCTCAGCCTCTCAAGTAGCTGGGATTACAAAGTGCCATCTCCTCTGCAGTGAGTTGTTTTTAGGTTTTCCACATTAAATTTGACTTTAAATATTCTAGATGCAGGTTTGCTTTCCATACTGACATCTTTTTCCATATTACATTCTCAGTGCTAAGTCCCATTTCAGCTGTTCATGGGCCAAGCTGTTTCATACTTAGTATGAACCATTGTTTTTGTTAGTTGGTTTTCTAGTTAGATAACCACCAAATAATCATTGCTAATCCTCTTCTGTTTCAGATTCGATGGGAACTTTAATACCAATGTATCTAGAACAATTAGTTGTGATCGACTGTCTACAGCTGTTAATAGCCGGGCCTTCAATCCTGGACGAGACTTAAATTCAGGTCAGTAACTTGTTAGTTTTATGAAGGGGAACTGTGTTTCACCATGCTCAAGTTGAATCCATGTATTGCCTTAAATTTCTTCTCTGTGCATCCAGTATAAACACAGGTGGTGACTACTCCGCTACTTCCGGCCCTGGAATTCCATTCCTTGTTTCTCCCCCATTTTATCTTGTGTACACTTGTTGGGAATGGCTCTCAAGTGCTGGGATCACAGGTGTGTGCCACCACACCCAGCAAGGTCATTTTAAAGTTGCAGAAATTTTACACCTTGCCCCAGCCTGGATTTCAGATTTTACAAAGGAGGAATCTCGGGTTTCAGACAGGTCCTAAGCCTTCCTGTATTTCTGGGAAGCTGCCGGATCTCAGTCCTTATGTAGAACTGTATTCCCCAAAGCCCAGTCTCTTGTCAACAGTAAAACCTGAGAGAAAAGCCAGAGGACAGAATATTTACTTCTAGGGCCCTAGCCAGGCTCCATCTCGGGGAGAAATTGTATCTTTCAGAGCTGTATACACAAACGGGTAATCGGTTGGGTCTGGAAAGAGCTGCAAATTTTCTGTTTCCTAGGGATAGTAAACTGGCTTCCAGATTAATGATCCAACTGAAATCTGCCTGGCACATTCTCTGGTCCAGTACGTAATGGATTCAGTCATTTTTTAATTGGCTGGAGAATCTGAAGCCTTTCTGGAACAGGTAAAATCCACTTCTAGGAAAGAAGCTAAATCAGAATATTTCTCATTTTAAAAAAAACAGAAGAGCCGTAGATGAAAGCACAGAGGAGCAGATAAAATGAACTGTGGAAAATTCCACAGCTGGCACAGCACGGAGGCAGCCCTCGATGCTCCGGTTTCTCAGACTCACTGCCTTCCCTCAGAAAAACTCAGCCACAAGCCAGGTGTGAGGCCTGAAGCTCTGAGGGCAAATTACAGCCCTAATGCAATCAGGTGTAAGTGTGTCCCTGGAGCACACCCAGCAGCACACCATCATGTGTCGGGACACTTTCCACAGTTCACACTACCTTGTGGTTCTCTGCTCGAATTAGTAAAGAAGAGAGAGTGTGAAGGCCCACGCACCAGTGTGAATGGTTCTTTTAGTGATGGAATAAAGGGGTATTTTCACTTTTCATTTACATTCTTCATTGTAAACTAAGCATGAATTGCTTTTATAACCGGGGGAAAAATAAAAGGGAATTACACATACAAGGTCCCTCGGTATCTGTGGGGTTGGATCCAGGCTCCTCTGGACACCAAAATCTGTGGATGCTCAAGTGCCTTACATAAATGGGGGTGATATTTGCATAGTACCCACACATCCTCTTGTGTACTGAAAACCACCTCTAGATTACTGGTAATGCCTCAAGTAATCTAGAGGTGGTTTACAGTACATTAAGTGACATGTAAATGATTATGTACTGATAGATAGTTGATTATACATTGTTCAAGGCATAATGATGAGAAAAAGCATGTGCCTGTTCAGTCAGACTCCCATTTGGTGCAAGTCTGTTGAGTCTGAGGTTGGTTTAAGCCACAGGTACAGAGGGCTGCTGTTTCCCCACGCACTTCTGCCCTTATTGTAGTAGCCCCTTTCTTAAGAACTCCGTTACCCGGCCATGTGACTGGGGCAGTGAGGAAGCCCAGGGACAGACGGGGTGGCTGGCTTGGGTCCCAGAGCCCAGCCCCTTCAGGGACCACCCACCTCCCTGGCCCTGGGGGTCCTCATTTTATGCGGTCCATTGTTTCTGATAAGGAACAGTTGCAGGGATCCAGCTCCACCATTGTAATCAGTTTGTTGTTTGTTTGTTGCGATGCTAGGTACAGATCCTGGGGCCTTCCACCCTGAGCTACTGCATCCCCAGCCCTATTTTACTTCGAGACAGTGTCTTGCTAAGTCACTAAATTGCCCAGGCTGGGCTCAAACTTGTGATCCTCCTGCTTCAGCCTCCCAGAGTGCTGGGATCACAGATGTGCACCACCATGCCCAGCAGTAATAGTGTTATTATACCTTTTTATTAGTGAATACAGAAGCAGTTTTTCCAGTTCCAACCTACCCTCTGACTCAAATACTGACAATTAATTTTGATCAGTAGTCATTAAGCACCTTTTGTGTGGTGAGTGCCAGGTCAGAAGACGTAAACAAAACAAAGATCATATGATTTGAGGGATGGACTTACAGATTGTAGACAAATGGACAAGTAAATGCCCAGAGCCAGCTGATGATGGGTACTGCTGGGTCCTGGATGTGGCCCCCCGAAAGTGAGCCTGGTGGGGGCCAGTTATCACAGGGCTGAGGCTGCAAGTGCGGTCTCTGCCCCTAACTTCGACGATGCTCCCCACTTTTCCCCAGTGTACTGAGGACTGAGCCCAGTGCCTTTGTGCTGAGCTATCTCCAGCCATTTATTTTGAGAGAAAGTCTCACTGATTTCCCCAGGCTGGGTTCAAACTCGCAATCCACCCGCCTCAGCCCCCCCCGAAGTGCTGGCATTATGGGCGTGGCCACCACAGCCAGCTCCTGCACCATATTTTGATGTAACTAGAAGGCCCCCCCGAGCTCCCCCCCTCAGTCATAGACTCCCCAACCTCTGAACTGTGAGCTGGACAAACTCCTATTGCTGAGAAACGGTCTAGGGTGCTATTCCAGCCGCACACAGCAGGTGAGACGGTCACAGGAGAAGTGATTTGGAGCCAGGACATGCAGAGGGCTGGTGGCTGGGGTTTCGGGGTGTAGGGAGGCAGCGGAGACTGAGTGTTTTACATGGAGCTCACCTGTAAGATCCAAGTAAGCGGGGTGCCAGATGTCAGGAGGAGGAAGGAGGCAAAGACCTGGCGTTGGGAGAACCGTGCTCAGAGGGGCCAGAAGCCCCCGGTGGCTCTGGGGGGTTGAGCGAGGTGGACAGCAGGTCTGGCTGGAGAGGGCATTAGGGACCAGATCCCCGAAGCCAAACCTTACTGGGATTAGGAGGACTTCCACCCTGATTCTACATGAGGGCCATGGTCGGGGTATGCAGGACGCATCAGGACTTGGAGGGTACAAGGCGCAAGTGGAAGCTGTTAAGTTTGAGGTGCTTAGGAGACACCCCAGGTCAAGCAGTGGCCTGCACCAGGGAGAAGCACAGACTAAGGATGGGAGCTGGGGTTCCTGTCCAGGGAGTGCCTGGGTGTGACACTGTGGAAACCCTGCAGCCAGTGTGGGTGGAACAGAGCCGTGCTCCGGGGCTGGCCCTGGAGGCACTTTGTCACCTGGAGGGCAGCGAGCAAAGGGGCACAGGAAGGGAGGGCAGATCCAAGAGGGCCCCGTCCCTGAAGCAGAGAGATGAGCGCGACCAGAGACAGGGTGGCCCCTGGCTCTGAGCCTGGCTCTCGGAGACATTCCCTGCCAAGCGATCCTGTTTCCTTAGAAAATTTACAAAGCAGCAGCATCGGCTGAAAGTGCAGTCCCAGAAAGAAGAGTGAAAACCTATTCACTGTGCTGTGAGTGGAATCTCAGCTACACAAATAAGGAAGCATCCCTGCGGGGCCGTGGGGTTCAGAGCAATCGGGTCCCCTCACACACACAAAGTCACCAGCTTGGTTTAAAAAATCCCTCCAGATGCTGTTTTGCTGCTTCATTTCAGTGCTTGTTGTTAAAAGAGCCTTAGTTAAGAGCACTTGAAAATGCAAGGAACGTGGCAAACGTAGACAGAATAACAGCCAGAACCTGAATTTGGGTGTTTCTAAGAGCTCGTCTCCAGGGCCACCTGCTCCCTACTGACAGGCATGTTCTCGGGAGAATCCACAGGGCCAGATTTGCAAGCAGCTTTTGGTGTTGCTCCGGTGTTTAGGAACTGACTTGCTTGCATTTGAAGTTTCTCAACGTTCTACAGGCAGTGGCCACATACCAGAGGAGCTATTTGTAACCCCAGAGGAATGTGGGTGGTGGAGGGGCCCACAGGACTCCCCCTTTCCTCTCCTGCCCCAGGAGCCCCTCTGAGAGCCCAGCCCACGCCCTGGGGCTATCATGTGTCTGCCGCTTCCATCTGGGAGGTGTCAGCCTCCAGTGCTCTCCACTGCCTCATCCATCAGCGGCCCCTGATTGATAACAGTTTCAGGTTGCCTCTCAGAGGAGCTGGAAACAGATTCCCATAAATTATACACCATTGCTAGACCTATTTATCCAAATCTAGGGCCTGCATCCATCCACACACGTGCACACATGTGCGTTCTTTTTCTTAAAACTACCCCTGCCAGATCTCCACTTTCTAAATTGACTCCTGGCCCCCGATTCCATTCGGATAGCTAACGGTGACAGCACCTGTGTTCCATTACGTGTCAGTGATGTTTTGCTCTGGCTCTTTCCTGCTTTTATTCCTGGTTTCTCACCCTCTTTTTTTTCCCCCTTTCAAATTCCCGCTGAGCTATTTTCTTGCATGGCCTGATCCCTGACAAGAGTTTATTTGAAGAGTCCAAGGAAAGTTGCCTCTTGCTCTCTGGAGTTACGCCACGGAGGAGAGAGTAGAAGTGGGAGTTCGTCTTTGCGAGGAGAGAAAAAGTGCCCGGACTCTTTATTGTGTTTGATTTAAAGAGCATTTGAAGTTGCAAACTTCGATCTTGGGAACGTTTCCGTCTTCCCTGAGATACAGGATTCACAGGTGTGAGGGCATTTAGAAGTCAGGTTGCGCAGGTGAGGCTACGGGAGGCGAAGACTCGGGTTAATTTCAGCAGCTTTGGCGCTTTGCTCTGGGCTGAACGGCCGTGCTTTCTCTTTTCTTTAAAACACAGAGGATCTTTAAACTCACAGTGGTTCCCTGATTAGTTTACTTCACCGTGCTACAGAAGGAAGCTCATCCAGTAGTCACTGGACGGGGGTGGCCGTGTGCGGGGCCAGTCCCCCTTGGGAGGCTGCAGGCTGCCGCTCTGTCACCGGGTCACAGAGGACCACCCCCCCCCAACTCTGGGGCTGTGTCCCTGAGTCGGGGCGCTGCGAAGGTGGCTGCATTAAGTGCATTTTGATCTACAATGTTTTCACC